CAGGTTTCACAGGAGCGCTGCCTTTGATCCAGAGAGAAAGCGTCCAGTGGCACCGCACGCTCGTTCAGTTACGCCTGCAGCACAGGCGTCAGCTCGCTGTGGCGAGGTGTGGCAGCCATTCTCCAGAATAACAGAGCTTAAGGGTGGATGTTTTGTTCATGATCACGTGAACAGTAAACTGAAAGTAATCTGTTTGGATACAAATATATATAAAATAGCCTGTGTGTGTGTGTGTGTGTGTGTGTGTGTGTGTGTGTGTGTGTGTGTGTGTGTGTGTGTGGTAAATGGAAGTTATGACATGTTTTATTGCTAAAGACAATTTCTTTAAACCAGACTTTATTATTATTATAATTATAATTATTGTTATTAGTTCTTTATTTATCCAGGTAAAAATCTCAGTGCGATTAAAATCTCATTTCCTGACAGACCGGGCATCAATGTATTCATTATTTATGAAGTTGTAGTTATTTCGGGTTTTATTGCGCAGTAAAGGGTTGTAATTCATAAATTGTGTGATTTCGATTGTGAACTTTGAACACTGAGTTTTACCTTCAAAATAAAAGCTTTCTTTGATCATTATTAATAAGCAGTTTTAACGGGATGAGAAATGTGACAGAACCCGGAGAACAAAAGGCGCAGCGGGTGCTGGAGGACGCGCCGTGTTTCTCTTTAGAATAGCTCGTGTTTGACAGTTTGTTAGTGCCACGGATCTCGTGGCAGAGTGGGGCCATTAGATTGGGTTACACGCACATAAACACGCAGCCTCACAGCACTGATACGGACTGGCAGACGGGTGTGTGGGTTCAGATCAGACCTCAGAGAGCGAAGACGATGATGTACGACCAGTCACGTCACGCAAGTCTGTGAAACTATAAAAATGTCAGTGGGTTAATTTTTTAAAGCGAAGCTGAGCGCCAGCTTCATCAAACTGCAGCTTGTTTCTCTGTGAGAACGAGTCCCCAAACTGCGTCCGTCCCACGGTCACGTATCAATCGGCGGTTCACGGGAAGCTGTTCTTCGTCGCTTTGGTGATTAAAGACAGAAATGTGGCGACGGCCGCAACTTCTCCCGTTTTCTCGCTCGTAAAGAGCGCGCGACCGTCGGCGCCGGTCCGGTGCGCGTCCACGGACGAGAATCACGTTTGATTGTTCGGCGGTTCATTTTCATATTCAAAGTCGGATTGAGCGACGTTTGATTAGAGCTTATCATCGGCCTGAGTTTGGGCCTAGAGAGTCGACACAAATGAAAAAGGCTCAGGATGTAATTCCACTCGCAGCGCAACTCTGCAGCCTTTCTTTGCTTCTGTGATGACTTTACACTCGAGGTCAGCGGACACAGCAGCCCGCAGTTTCCAGTCATCTTCACGGACACCTCGCTGTTAGAGTAAACTAATAAAGCATTTAGTGCATGTCTGCAGTGCGTCATGTGTGACAGACAGATCAGACTGACCGCTCTGGTCCAGGCCTTTACATCCCGGGTCATGCTGCGGGGTCCCGGAGTCTGAGAGCGACAGCGCCGGGCTGCGGGGGTCACCGTCCGTCAGAAGGTTAAAATCCATAACCAGGCTCTGCACACAGACACACACAGAGCGAAAGACACGGTCAGGACATGTTTCACCTGCAGTCAGCATAAAGAAAGAAACACAAAGCTCAGTGACCACATGATAAATCTACAATCCTGCCAACAGAAAGACGATTTTACCTTTTTAAATATTCCAAGAACATTTTCATCATTTTGTAATATTGTTACTTTATTGTTTGCAGCGTTGATCAGATGATTATCCTCCTCTAATATTGTGTCTTACTGCAGGAACATTTATCCAGTTTTCTCCAGTTTTATATTTATGACTCATGTCCAGCTGCCATAATCCACACAGAGCTGATAAAATACTGTTACCAGCTACTATTGTGCACAACTCCTTTCTTTAATGTACAAAGGGACTGAGGTTTTCATAATCGTGAAAAATTCAGAAATATTATCAAATACTCTGACGTGAAGTGCATCAAATCAAACACACGGTTCATCATGTGCATACAATCATCTCTGCATCTGAGGATCACCTCTTTGTGTCTCCCTCTGAATCAGTGTTTCATGTGGTCTGTGTGTTACTTGTCCATACATGCTCTCTTCTCTCTCCAAGCTTTCCTTTCACACTCGGCTGTGGTTATGATTATGATCCCTGTATAGAAGGCTGACACAAGCAGCTATAAGTAGACCTCCCTTGAATTGGCTCTATTTTGGGACACACAGGGAGCGCTATGGCTGTAAAACACACTATGACATTTCCAAGACAAACTTAAGACCGTGAGGTCAAAGTGTCGGTCACTTGTTTATTAATCTGAAAGCAGCTGATTTTGAAAACGATGGGATGATTTATGGCTTTGAGGTGAAAATAGGATTTAATCACAACATGCTGGTTCAAAATGAAGCCAGTAGAAACTGTCCTGAAGCGAGCGGATCAGTGCAAAGTGCTGGCCTCCATCAAATCAAAGAAAAGACCCTGAACTCAGCACGCTGCCAATGTTTACTCGTCTTTTTGATCGACTTTGCATTTTCCACGTTCGGTCAGTGAGTGAAAACTCAGAGCAGGTCTTGAGGCTACTGTCAGCGAATCCATGTCATCAGAGGTTTAAAAAGATGACACGCCTGCTGCCCGTTTGATGTTGCCAGTGTCTGTGTGTAGTCAGCGTTGTGGTTACAAGCTTTATACTTAGAAGCAGCACATTTAGATTTCCAGGCGAACGGGTATTTGTGACCCCCACCTCTCCTCAGCCCCTCCATCATGAATGTGTCTCCCTGTCCTCTGTTTGCCACTATGCCAGGCCTGACATTCTGCTAGAGTTAAAGCAGAGGGCTCGGACTGAGCATCAAAGACCACCATCCCACTGCTAACGTGGATTAAACACTATCCCCTGTTTTATGGCAGGAATTCATTAAAATGGCCTGAAAAGAAGTTTGAGAAAATGAGATGTTATCCTGAGCGGACTGGTCTCTTCCAGGAGGACTGAGCCTCCATCCATGATGTGATGGCTTAGTTAATGCAGATGATCTGAATCACGTGTTATGGTCATTACAGTCGATCCATCTGAAGTCAGTGAAACACCAACAGGAGACTTTAGAGCAGCGTGGCAGACATTACGCTCTGCTAGATGACGTTCCAGCTCCCAGGAGAGCTTCATCTTTACGATGAGGAGCACTGTGTGGTGGCTCAACATGTAGCAATGGTTTTCGTTTAATTTGTCACTCATCTATACTCTGCTCTGGAAATATGGGAGGTAGAACCAGTGACCACAGGGAGTTTTTGTTGTTTTGTCTTTTTCTATTGTTCTAATCAGTTTCTCTTGGCAGAAATGCCCTAAAGAGTCTATGCAAATATTTGTAGCTCCATGCAAAAGACTCCTAAAGACTCCTACAGAGAGGACATCAAGTCCTAATATTTAGAGGTCAGCTCAAAATCAAGTAACAATACTACATGTCATTTTAAAAGAACCACACAACGCCAAACAAATGCAAATGTGCTCGACTAACGTTCACAGAAGAAATGCTGTTTTCACAACAACACAAAAATACACAACTGCATTTTCTTGCTGCTCCCACTTCACACTGTGTCCGCGCGTGTAACGCTGCGCTGAGGCCAACCTGCATATTGTGATGAAAGGTTTATCACCGTGCCACATCTGAATCAACGTTTCTCAGCCTTTAAAAGCACATCCGTGTGATCGCCGCCAACATAGACTTCAGAGAAAAAAGGCTCGCATCTCTTTTTTATTGAGCATCCGGGACAATGGTGACAACATTTCACAACAGAAAATGAGCACTGCGTGGAAGCTACTGCTGATCGCGGGGTGGGGGGGCGAGACCTCGGTGCTTTAATGACTCTGACATGGACGGTGCGTTAAAAAGATCAGTTACTGTTTTATTTTCCATTTTTCTTTAACGGGATGACTTAATAGCGACAAACACACTTTTACACTCGAGGCCCATCTGTAGGCTTTACTGTGAGCGTCAAACAGAAGCAGCAGATCACAAACAGCAAACACTGACACAACATATGAATTCAGTCAATCAGCTTATGTGATAATGAACTCTTTTCATTTGAAAACACACCATCGAGTGGATGTTTACCTTTGCGCTGGGTTGTTGAGCCACTTCTCTGTTTTAAAGCTAACAGCCGTCCACAGACGCCACTTACAGGGCGATGGACTCGACAGAGCAACAGCCGCCCAGCTTTAGTATCAGCACGGTCCGGTATTCTGGCCAGAAATGACAGTGCGCTCGTTTTGGGCACTACATCCGCCGTGGCAGTGATGGATGGACGCGGGGCCTGCTGTCAATGTGGAGAGGCCCGAGAGGCTGTGCGGGTGATGCAAGCCACACATTTTGTCCAAAACAACGTGGCACAACCCCACCCACCGACACTCACACACCTTCTCATGAAGGGCTCGATTATATTTGTAAAATCAAAAGCCTCATCCTGCCTCCTGCTCGGTATGTCCAACAAACTATCACCGAGCTAACGAGCAGGCCGGGCCTCAGCAGCTGACAGTGTGACTAATCACAGCAGAGCCTCCCGTGACCGATCCACTGAGCTGAGCAGACTTTTTCACGGATCTTACCTCTGCTTTCTAACACAGACTGCTTTCCTGGAGCGCACTCGAACCTCTGCTTTGAAACAAAGCCTAAAACACGGGTTACCTGGAGGAGGCGGGCGGGGGTCCTGCTAGGAAGTAAACGCAAATCAACAGTTTGCATGAGCAGGAGCGCTTTGCATGAGTAGCAGCCTGGTGCCATCGAGCTCAAAGCACATATCTGCTGACGATAAAACATTAAATACTTAAAAAAGCGGGATCCTCTCATTTCCCGGCAGTTCTGGAGGTCCATCTGGCAGTGCGCGCGGCGGCGTGCTCGCATTTCCACGGACAGCAGGCATTAGCCCGGGAATTATTCATAAACGCGTTGAGAATTAATTCCTGGGATTAAGAGTTGATTAAGATGTGTGTCACTTTGCTGTCTGAGAACTTATTAAGGGCCTCCTCCTCCTAAGAGGCGGCAGATGGAATTTCGGCCCAATGTTTGTAGATGTTAATTTCTGCCCTCCTATAACAGCCATTTGCATATGATTGAGGGAGCGAGGCCGATGAAGTCCTGCAGCAGAATCACGGAGGAATAATTGGTTGGGCGAGCCAATAGAAGCTCTCGACAGTGATCAGTACAGAGCGTTTCCACATCAAGAATTTATTAGGCCCGATAAAAAATGCATTTCAGCCATTCAGCTCAGTCTGCGAAGCAACTTTAGTTAACAGAAATCCAGACCTGCAGGGGAATACTAAACACTCACGAGTTTATCCACAGACGGCGGGTCAAGTCCTGCGCGTGAATCTGGGTCCACTTATAACTAAAGGTTGTGTTTGAGAGTCAGTCTGCAGGGATGGAAGAGCGCAGTTTGATTTGCGATCTGCTTCTTATTGTTAGATGGAGCACAAATGACAGTCAACTCCAAGTCTGTATTATTATTATTATTATTATTATTATTATTATTATTATTATTATTATTATTATTATTATTATTATCACTTCGACAGATCACAAAAGTAATTTAAACGATCAGTCATTGTGCTGGAGCCTTGGCCTCTCGGAGCACCTCGGCCCTCGGCTGGGTGTAAAATATTTCCATTGTGCCCTGAGGACAAACGTGAACTTCGATTAAACAAATTCAACTAAGTATTTTCATATGTCCGGATCTGAAAACATATGCAAAAAAGGCTATAAAGTGCAGGCCTGCAGGGCCAATGCTAAGATGGTCCTTTATAAATTAAAAAAACAATCGCTTTGATTTTCATGTTTATAATGATAACAACAACAACAATAATAATATTAATAAAAATAATAATAATAAAGATAATAATATGAGCAGCGCGAGTTTGAGTTTATAGTGATCGAACATCCTTGAGGCGACATTTGTTGTGATTTGGCGCTATATAAATAAAATTGAATTGAATTGAATTGAACATTTTGATCTGTTTATTCTGTAATAACAGTTTCACGCTCTTTCACTTCTTTGTTATTTTAAAGGAATGAAACAAAATTATTTTGTGTAATAATAATAAAATAAAAATAAAAATAAAAATAAAAATAAAAATAAAAATAAAAATAAAAATAAAAATAAAAATATGACCAGCGCGAGTTTCTGAGTTTATAGTGATCGAACATTTTGATCTGTTTATTCTGTAATAACAGTTTGAATTGAAAAATGACAGTTTTAATGACAGCTTTTTCCCTTTTTTGTTATTTTAAAGGAATGAAACAAAATTATTTTGTGGAACAATAATAAAATAATAATAATAATAATAATAATAATAATAATAATAATAATAATAGCATTATTATTATTATTATTATTGTTGTTGTTGTTGTTTCCTTGAAGATTCCCTTCAGTGTGTTTACACAGAGTGAAGCTTGTGAGTATCCGCGCGCGTGTATGTCCGCGCGTTTCAGTGTTTCTGTCCGCGGGTTTGTGGGGTTTCCTCGGGCCTCTGCAGCCTCCCGTCAGTTTTCCTCACATTCACAAATATTTTTCACATTTTCAAATATTGTCACGTCATCGTTTGAACGTGTTTCGAGATGATCATCTGTCTGGTTATTACAAAAATAGAGGTAAAAGAAAAACAGGCCTCGGACACCCACGCAGAAGCGCCGCAGCAAACAGCACCGCTCTCTTGTACCCATTGTCGGGTTTACTCTAAGCACGTCACGCTTGTGTTGTCTGTGTGAGGTTGGCCTGTACAAAGTTAATATTCTCATGTTGTAACCACCGTGATTTAACTGAAGCATCAAACGGTCGCTTTTCATCAGCACAGTGATCTGCTCACGAGGAACGCAGACGGGCTTTTATTTGCGTTCCAGGCTATTCACGGTTTATTCTTCTGACTCTGTCCAAGAACAAACAACGTGTGCATTTTGGAAAAGTGCAAATCGTCCCACAGAAGAACGTTAACGAGGCCTCTCAGTTTTACTTTGGTCGTCTTGCGAACTTTATGCACAGGAAAAAAATCTACTTGGATTTCAAACACACCAAAATAAAAAGAGCAGATTACAGAAGGGAAGCGGGGAAAGTTGGGCCGTTTCACTTACGTGGAATCCCAGGCTAGTTAAATTAATCCGTGGAAAGGCAAAGAGCTCTGCTGCAGGCTGATGGCTGTCCTGGCGTCAGGTCTGCCGGTGACATGGACAAAAAGTTCCCCGGTGCGTCCAAACCTCAGAAGAATGTGTCTGCCGTCACTCTCGGTCTTCCTCCTCTTCTTCTGTCCTCGGTACTGTCAGACATGAAGGCTGTGGACGAGTGAGACTTGATCCCACACAGAGTATAGGGAAGAGGCGGGAGGGGGTGCGGGGATGGGAGGGGTTGATCTGGTGCTAAGTATTGTGTGCGACAGGTCCACTGCAGAGAGGAGAGGCGACCCCACACACACGCACACACACACGCACGCACTCAGACACGCACTGATGTGCAAACACACGCAAACACTGAACTCCCATTGGCTCTGTCTACAAACACCCTCCATCTCTTCCTGACTGCACAACTCTGGTTATTATTTACCTGCACATTGTTTGTAGGGAAGCTTGCAGCTGCGCTTCTAGCTTTAACATTCAGCCAGAAAATGAACAATAGTTTAGTTTAAATCGAATTAATTTAATAATTAATTTAATCATTTTCAGTTTAGTTTACACTCAAGTTTCTTTGTGACACAGAAATACAGAAATCTGTCACATAAGCTCGAATATTTACTTGAATAGAAAAGAAATGCATCTGTAATTTAACACATTTAACCACGTGTTCCGTGAACCTGGAATTCTGTGACTAATGCAGCTGACACCAATCAACGGACTTCACTGGACTTTTAAAGAAGCACCGCTATAGAGAAATGATTTTCATAAACATCAACAACAAACATCAACAATCTGTTATTAGCCCCCAGAATGGCCACTATCAAAACAACAACAACAAACCTACTGAATATTCTCGTCGCTGAAATAATGGGATTTACCATCATGTACAAATACGGAAATTTTTCATAATTAAAATACAGAAAAAATGTTTCCAGGACGGCAAATTAAGTTTTAATGCAATTCAACTTTAAACTCCATCAAGTCTTTTGTGTTTTTATTGATTATTTTAATATTAAATTAAATGTATTTGCATGCTTACACAAATTGAAATACAATTAATAGTTTAAAATGTGAAAAAGTGGTGTTATTAGTTGGATTTTATTTTATATTTATGTAATTTTATGAATACCTGAACAGGTAAAGCAGACAGTTAAAAGAGAACAAAGATGTCTAAACTATCCGAGGTGCGCGCTCAGCGGAGGGAACGACACGAGAGCAGCGAGGCTGGAGACGATCAATCCTGGAAAGGCTTATGACGATAATAAGAAGAAGAATCATTTTATTGGAAAAGTCTGACTATAATCTGCTATTTGTATGAGAATTAAAAAGCTCGATGGTTGGGGTGATTTTCTGTATTCCTCTGTTTTCCAATAAAGAGAGAGGACTCCTCCAGTGCGGCTGTTTTTGTGGCTGATCAGAGTTACTGGCTCTAACGTCTTTGGTGTGCATCTTTCCACCACGTCTCCCAGCGTGTCCAGTCTGGGTCCAATTACAAAGCCAGCTTTCCTCGCCAGTCTGCCTCTGTGTTTCTAATGCCCCCCAGCACAGGCATCATAGAAAAGCACGCTTGCCACACTGATAGAACATCTACAGCATTTTACTGCAGATCTCAGCATATTCTTAGTTTTCTTAACAAAAAGAGGGGACTTTGCTACTTTTGGATAGTTTGTCTATAGAGGGACCAGTCTAGTTTGTTATTCAGGTGAAAACCTCGATATTTATATTTTGTTACAACCTCTATGTCTAAACCACAAACCTCTGAATCTACGATCATTTCCTTCATCTTACAGGTGTTTAATATGAACCAACTCCAGTCAATGAAGGCTTTTACAATGGACAGACTCCGTTTCTGATACATGCCACAGTGGCACGGTCGCCCAAGTATTTCTAGATGTGACAGGACTCAGAGTTGTATTTGAAGTATACAGTGTGAAAAGAAATGGAGCCGGGAAAGCCCCAGTGCTGCTCATTAGTGTCCCACCCAACCTGATAACGATGGGCTTTCTGTCAGGTAGTCGGTGATCCAGGAAACAGAGGAGGGATCTACTCCCAATCTGTGAGCTTGCCTTTGACTATATTTATTTGGAGGTATTGAAAGTGCAAGAACATAATTCTCTCACGGTGAATTATGTAGGGCAACATCATTCAATTCAATTCAATTCCATTTTATTTATATAGCG